TCCCAAGTAGGAGGCATCTCTCTGTCCTCAGTGGTTAATGTCACATGTTATCACTTTATACCTAAGTGGTGACCATCGGATCTATAACAGTACCTATCTCTCCTTTCGCTTTTACACATAATCCTTATAATCCCAAGTTATTGTTCACACACAGGGCTTTGATTTCCTGTGGGTTATTAGTAATGTATGAGTCATATTCTTAAGGGAAAAAAAAAGTATACTGGTGTCTTTTTATTGTCCAAACTCTACTTTCACAAGTATCAAAGTTGTTTTAAGCTTTGGAAAAAGTTGAATGGAAGGAAGAAAGGAAGGAAAGAAAAAGAAAGAAAAGAAAGAAAGAAAGAACTACCTCTGACTATGAAACAGAAGCAATTACTGTTGACATTGAAGAGATTTGCACTTAATTTGGGGTCACTTTTTCAGGATGTCTGTGGGCCTTAGGGATATTTAGTTTTCAAAATGTAAACATTTGAAGCTTCCGGTAATTGTTTTTACTCCTTTGTCCTGATTTCCTCTTTCTCTTTTTCATGAAATAGTTGTGTAAATCTGACATTGATTTTTAGTTTATTTTTACCCCACGAATTGCCAAAATTGTAGCAATGGAGATCAAAGGCTTTGGAGTGAGTATGGGATGCAGTCTACGACTTTGGGCGCATCATTTGGGCCTTGGTTTCTTCCTCTGTAATATGGGAATATTAATAGTCCATAATTTTTTTAAAAGAAATTTTATTGGGGAACAGTGTGTTTTTCCAGGACCCATCAGCTCCAAGTCAAGTAGTTGTCTTCAATCTAGTTGTGGAGGGCACGGGTCCTTGGCCCATGTGGGAATCGAACCAGCAACTTTGGTGTTAAGAGCCTGCGCTCTAACCAACTGAGCTAACCAGCTGCCCCAATAATCTGTAATTTACAAACTTGTTTGAGGACTTGTGAAATAACATGCTTTCTGTGTTCCTGGAAAGAGTTCTCAGTGTAAACCACCATGATTGCCATGGGTGATGATGGTGACGATGGAACCCCTCGAAGTGTCAGGATCTTCCTCTGTGGAACAGAAATAGTCATATGACCAGGGCTGGAGATAAAGTGTGTAAAGCACTTGACATTGGGGTTGAGCAGAGCAGGTAAATGGGAGATGGCTTGTTGTTACTTTATTCCGAGAGCCAGTGGCAATGGGTGAAATATTCACTGTGGGAAGAGTTCCACTTGGTGGTTTTTCACGTGTGGACCTAAAGGCTTAGTTGGCATGAATGAAGCCAAAGCTGACAACCATGCCCAGTTAATGTCCTTTGTCCTATGTCGGTAATTCTTGGTGACTGTGTACCCTGCTGGGTGGAAGTGGACAGCCCAAGGCCACCTCTGCCACCAAAGAAAACAGACCAAATATACTCAGGTAGTGTGTTTCACTGATCCAAAGATGTGTCTTGAGATCAGAAAGAAAACATGGAGAATTGAAATATATTGTTTACATCCTGACCTTATGAATTCACTTCTAGAAAAAGGATCAAGCTTTTCTGGAGTTTGTGATGAAGGATAAACTCTGGTGCCATTTGCAAATTCATTCTTAAAGAACCAAAGCAAGCCTGGAGGTAGCGGCTTCCAGCACCTAGGAAGTGCCAGGTGCTTCTTAGAAAACTTACCTTTACCTGAAAAGGAGCCATCGGTCCTGGTTCTCTGAGAACTTGACACTGAGCCAATAATTCAATTTGATGGGGGCCTTTAGAGAGGGCCCATACATCATGAATATGATTTCATGTTGAAAATAATATTCTGTACCTCGGGAAATTTCCTTGTAGATCAGAGTTCATGGGTATAATCTCCCTGGGGGACGAGGGGATGGATAAAAACTGGACGTTTCCAATCTTAAGCCATTTATGTCACACAATTGGGGGAAAAAAAGTGCTTGTCTTGTCTTGGCTTCTGTATAGAAAACCAAGCATTCCTTGAATGATTAGCTAGAAAACCAGATTGTTCAGATAATTCCCATTCCTGATCTATTGCATCAGGTTTGATGTGTGTGTGTGTGTGTGTGTGTGTGTGTGTGTGTGCGCGCGCGTGCACACGCGCGCCCCGTGATATTTAAAACCTCTAATGTCTTCACTTCGGCGAGAAAGCCAAATGGAACTGGGTTTGCTCCATTCTCTCGGAACCTCACCGCCTCATTCTGTACGAGTAAATTGGATTGAGTGAAAATTAAAATGTGGGCGAAGAGATGTAACTTCTCTACCCAGGCTTCGCAGAAAACCCACCCAGCCAAGTGCTTGGCATTCACCAGTCATCTGCTTTTCTGACCATGGGGAGCAGCTGAAATGACAAGCACACAGATGGACACGTCATATGATTAATGGCATCTACCAGGCCTGGTGGTGAGAATGCAGGAAATGGCAGCAGACATGAGCAAGTCCCCTTTTTGGTTTAATGCTCCGTCCAAGGTTGGAAGTAGAAGAACAGGGATCAGGAAAAATTCCAGCCGCTATTTTTTGCTAGAAAATCTGAAGGCACCCTTTCCCCTTTCTTCAGCATTCCCTGCCAAGCCTGGATCTTTCAGGGGAGCCACACCACCCTCCTGGCTGGCCCATCCATCCTCCCTCGCTCCCTCTCCCCTTCCACCCTTCCTTCATTTTCCCCTCTTTTTTCTCCTTTGTGTTTCATTTTTTCTCCTGTTTCTCCCAAGCATGAGCCACCTCAGAGTGCAAGGGGCCTCTGAGGAGGGGTGAACATGTGCAAAGCTGGCAAGTGAAGGTCCGGGCAGCGTGAAGCCCTTTGTGTAAACCCCAGCCACTTTCTCATCCAGTGGGTCATCCCTGTGCCTGGCGCTCCAGGAGACCAAGATTCCACCATTGAAAACCAGCCAAACTTGAGGCCATAGCCTCAGGATCACACCCAAAGTTGAGAATTCCTGCCTTGGCTGGCTTTAAACATTTTTAATTGGTTTTGAATAGGTAGTCAAGATATGCAAAAGGCTGGAAAGGGTGAAAAACTATTTCTTCAGTCCTACCTCCCAGCACCTCCCACCTAAACTCACCAATGCCCCTTTTTACAATTGATAGACTCAGGGTGGCCAGTTAGCTCAGGTGGTTTGAGCGCAGGCTCCTAATACCAAGGTTGGCCGGTTTGATTCCCACATGGGCCACGGAGCTGCACCCTCCACAACTAGATTGAAACAACTACTTGACTTGGAGCTGATGGGTCCTGGAAAAACACACTGTTCCCCAATAAGAATTAAAAAATAAGATAAAAAAATAAATACAACAAAAAAAGTGATAAATCTCTTTTTTGAGCAATGTTACGCCCTATTATGAACATTTTGCTTTAGTGTGGTTCATTTCTTATAACTTATGAGCCAATATTGATCCATAATTATAAACTAAAGTCCACAGTTTACATTAGGGTTTAGGGTTTGTGTGGTACCTTCTGTGGGTTTGGCACGTGTGTCTACCATGATGGTGTCATGTGCGATAGCTTCCCTGCCCTAAACATCCCCTGGGCTCCACCTACTCACCCTCCCTCCCCCACAAAACCTCTGGCAACAGCTGATCTTTTCACTGTCTTCATAGTTTTGCCTTTTCCAGAATGTCAGATCGTTGAAATCCTACAGCAGGCAGCCTTTAAAAGCTGGCTTCTTTCACTTAACCATGTGCATGTAAGGTTCCTCCGTGTCTGCTCACGGCTTGATTTCTTTTCCTTGCTGCCTAATATGCCATTGCCTGGACGTACCACAGTTTGTTGATCTTCGGTGACTACCCACCGAAGGACATCTCGATTGGTTCTATGTTTTGGCAATTATGAGTAAAGCCACCATAAACACCTGTGCAGGTTTTGGTGCAGACATAAATCTTCAACGCATATGCTAAGAGTATGTTTAGTTTTGTAACATGCTGCCAAACTGTCTTCCAACCCAATGAGTTTTTTGGTGGTTTTAAAGCTCATATTAGTTAGCATGATAGGTACTTAGCAAAGGCCATCCTGACAGCTCCTGGTGGACAGCAAGGCAAGAGCTGCTCCCATTTGGAGGACCACAGGGCTTGAACCTGATCAAGCTACAGGGGATCACTTCTTGCCTTTGCTACTTACTTGCTGCTGTGTGACATCAGGCAATTTACTTAACCTTTCTGTGCTTCAGTTTCCATCACAGAGATTAGGCCTGATAATGGTACCCAGGTAATTCTTCTGAGAATTACCTGAGATATTCTACGCACATCTTAGCACACCATTTGGTATAAGTAGGTGCTCCATAAACATTCACTATTCTTATATCTTATTACAAAAACCAGCATCTTTCTACCCAAAATAGCCAGTACATTTTTCAATGATAAATGTCTATAACAGTGCATTCGGGGCAGCAATGACAGAGGAATTTGATACATTGTGAAATCTGGTAAGAAAAAAAAATGTGCAGCAGCTAAAAGAAAAGGAAACCCAAATTAGAAAGGAACTGGTTTTAAGTGCAGGGGTTTGGGTCCATGGAATAAACCCCCTCCGTCTCCTCTCGCCCCTGGTTCCCATTAGTGACTTGCTGGCTGGAAACCCTCTGGGGTAAGTACTGGATTATGAAATGCCCTCTCGCTGGTGGCCTGCCAAAGCCTGCTCCGCAGACACCCAAGCTAAACCGGCGCTGGCTGCTGCTGAGTCACCTCCTTACCCTGAGGGCCCTAACTGAAGCTCTTGTCTTTTCTTTCTCAGGCAGCTCCACAGGCAGGAGGAAGGGCCATTAAGCAACCCATGGGGTAAGTTTTTTAAATTTCTTTGGGCAATGCTTGCACGATGACATAATGATATATGCTAACAGTCAAAACAAAGCGCGCTGTAGCTGTATCTCTTCATATTGGGTTTATTTCGCACCTTAATAAGCAAACCCAAAAGAAACGCGTGTGCATTTCCTGATTCATCGTCTGTGGGTCCCCACCACACCCAGACACCAGTGGAAATGGAGACATCTGAGGTACCTACCAGCGGATTGGCCTCTCATGAGATCAGATAACCAGTTTTCCTGTTTGAACCTCATGGGCAGGGTTTAGGTATCATGAGGTCAGACCACACGGAATTTTTTTTTTTTTAAACTCAGGGTAAACAATGATACCCAGTAACTTCTGCAGGGCATATGACTCAAAAGCACTTGCTAATATGAGACGCAGTGCATTAATAAAGCATGACACTAAGAGCATATTTGGATCAACATATTTTTGGAGTAAAACTGAGACAGTACAGCAGAGCTTAAAACCCTGCTGAGGAATTACAAACAGGGTGGGTTTGGAAAGCGGAGCCGGAGGACAGGGGGGTCTGCTGGGGTCATCTGAAGGGACGGCCACTTAGAGCCAGGTTGTGAGGCTGTTCCGCCCACCAGCCCTGTGGGAAGGAGAACAGGAACAGGTCAGAAGGTCACCTTGTTCATCTCTCCCACCCAACTCAAGTGTCGCAGGTTCCTGGTACAGCTTCATAGAGTGGTGAGAAAGGGAACAAAACAGAGGACAAAGGGCAGAAGGAAAGAATCAATGTCAAGGTGAAGCCTCCCACTCTAATTTTGCTTTGCATGCACTAGGGGCCCAGGGACATCTCCCTTCTTTTCTAGAACTTTCTAAGGTCCAGTCTGGTGAGCCTGGATAATGATTAAAAGCACAGCATCCAAAATTAAACAGCAGAAATGAACTTGGAGTTTCCTCCTGTAATGAAAAGTTAAAGAGAGCCCCTCAAAATAAAAGCTTGGCCTCTTTAAAACTAAATAAACAGACACATTACCCTGACCTCTAAACTCCCCTTAGCTTTAAGGAAAAGAGCACCCACTTCTGTGACCAGCTTTCCAAATTCTGCCCTTAGTTTTCAAAACAACGGCTGGCACTCCAAGCCTTGTTGGTATCATGTCCCATGACCTTACACAGCCTGGCAGATGCTTGAGCCACAAAGTATATAACCTGAGGTTAATTTGTTATTTTTATAGGTCCTTCTTTCCTCTGCAGATAACTACCACCCATTCCTCTAGTATCAGTTTTAACACGACACTTGAAGCAACTGCATTTTGATGCTGGATTTTTGCTTTGAATCAGGGACCATTTGCATCCCAGCTCCATCTTTACACATGTGGTGCGCAATAATCTTTGCTAAAACTAAAAGGGAGAGAGGGCAGGGAGGGACAGAGGGAGGAAAGGAAGGAAGTGAGGGGGGGAGAAAGGGAAGATGACAGTGAGGGGAAGTGCAAACACAGGGGACACTGCAGAGTCACCTAATTTGCCTACCCCTCCCCCATATGGCCTCTCCCTTCCTCTTTTTCACTCCCGTACTCTTTATCTTCTCCTCACAGAAACACCAAAATGAAAGCAAGACTGAAATCGTCCCTGCCTCAGTGCATACCAAAATTTGATCTGCAGTTTTTCTTTCTTTCTTTCTTTTTCTTTTTTTGTTTTTGTCCTTCTGGGCCCTGCGTCCACAATTCAAATATATTCCCAAGCGAATTTACTCAACAAGCATATCTCTCTCACATGCACCTCAATAAATAAATGACAAAATATGTTTCCTTAAAACATAATTTTTGAACTTAAGGTTTGAAAATCTTACAGGAGTTTTCTTAAGTTATCAAATAATTCCACCTTGACAGGGACATCCCAAAGGTAATGAAAGGAAGGCACTTGAAATCATAGTATTTGAGGGTGCATGTTTTGGCAAAAATCTACAGAAAATGTGGTCTTTGGATAGTTAACCACTTTATTTATAATTTCATTTCATTGGTAACTCATGCTTGTGTTGTCCTTCTATTTAATAAAATAGATGTCTATTCAATTTAATAAAAAGGAGGTTTGATCCCACCTCAGGGGACGTAGAAATTGGAACGATTTGTCAAAGCCCCTTTAAGACATTTCTCATAAGATAAAAAAGTCCACGCTATGTAAGAGGGAATATTGCACTGTACTGTACAAAAGTAGGGACTATATAAAAATCTTTCAAGGGCCGGCCGAGTGGCGCAGTGGTTGGGAACTGGCTTGGGATGCCAGAGGGCCCCGGTTCGGATCCCACATATGAGGGCCAGTGACACTGCCCTCCACAGCTAAGATGCTGAACAACAGCTCAACCTGGAGCTGGGCTGCCGTGAGTCGCCAGCGACGGCGTAGGCTGCAGCCCCTGTGGCAGTGGGTTGCCATGGGCTACCGTATGTAGCCAGCAGCCAGCGTGAGCGGCCAGCAGCCGCAGTGAGCGGCCGTCCAGAAGCCGGCGACTGATCTGCCTCACCCGGGAAGAGCGCAATGATGGTTCCAACTTGGGCCAGTGAAGCAACGACCTCCACAACTAGACTGAAGAACAAAACGACAGCAACTTGTCTGTTTCCCTTCCCCCAATTCCCCAGCACTGTTCCCATCCCCCCAATTCCCCAATAAAAATCTTTAAAAATAAAAAAAAATCTTTCAAAAACAGCTTTCCATTGCTTTCGATTAATTTCCCTTTTTTGTGCAAAAAAACAAAAAAAATCAAGAAGATAAAAAAAGAATAAGAGAGGAAGGACATCACACGATAGCCTATTGGAGAGAATAATACATGTCTGTATCATGGCCTCCATCTTTCATTTGCTCATCTTAAGGAATGCAGTTTAGAGGTGGCTGAGCTCCAGAGCTGGGGGCGAGAAATTGCATGCAGCGTCGATTCACTCACCAGAAGAGATTTCCAAAGTTAGAATTACGAAGTGTGGGCTGGAGAACAGGAGAGATGTACTTAGGCATTCAAGGTATGTACTGGGCAGTAAAACAGATAGATCTGTATTACATCATCCCATCAGAGACTGGGCCCCTTGGAGAAGTTAATGATGAGGAAATTGAAAGCAACTTATAGGAACTACTACTTCACCTGGTAGAATTCATTCTAAGGAATTTACTGTCATAAAATCATGAAATCAATGACGGAGTTGGAGTTTTCAAAGGGGCACGATAATGTATGACCCAGTCCTCTGGCTAGTTGGGAGGTAAAGAAGCAATCAATTTACCTCAATCAATTTACCTCCTTCCAGGACATCATAATTTACTACAGGTGGGGTCAGCTAGAAGGTGTCCCCGACACTTGATCAGGATAATTAAAAAGTGTTCGCCCATGCTCACGTGTCCTAGGAGAAAGTAGAAATAGGATGTAAAGATCACATAACCTGATCCAACACGACAAACGTTTTTTTTTTGGCAGGGACAAAAAAATTAAACAATGCAACAATCAATTCCAGGAACTAATAAAGATGTTCCTGAAATATTTTTTTTATAGAAGCATTTTTCTCCCGGTAATGTAAATATTAAGCAATGTTTTTGGTTTTGAATCTGATTCTCTGACAAGGATCCTCAGAGCACATCTGCCGAGCTTGAAAACAGTTAATATGCATGGCTTTCTTTTTCCCAATGGAAGTAAAGTTTAGTCCGAAGTGGTGAAAGCAGAGTAAATATTAACAAAGCAATGTGAATTTTGAGTTTGTCATGTCAATAATGAAGTCCTTTGATAAAGCCATTACAGCTTAAATTCAGCATCATTATTTTTTCTCTCTCTACTCCACCTTTCTTTACATATTTTTCTAGAAAATGTGGGGTCGTTTCTAGGACTTCATTTATGCCACCGAAGGTGCATCAAAAGCAATATGGCACCTTTGACACTCTAATTTATGAGCTTCTGAAAGAGACACCAAAAAGGCATCTTGTATGATTAGAGTCCACATTTCCATGTGGGGACAAAAGAGTGTCAGACAATCTACAAAAAAAAAAAAAAGGGAGGAGGGGGGACTTTTGCTTGAAAAAAATTACAAAGCACAATAAAATTCGGAATAAGTCGTAGGAAAACCTAGTCTTTGAATGTCAATAAAGTGTGGCAGGGCTGAAAAGGCACCGTTGTAGCCTCCTGGGAACCAGGAGGTGTTTACTGACACTGACGGACATTGACCCGTCTCGTTTCATTACCCGTGTTAAAGAAAAAAGCAAGAGTAAAGATAAAACGCATCCAGACGTTCTTCCGTAGTAAATGAGGGCATTTGCAATAGGGGTTATAATTTGGAGCTTAAGTACATTCTTATTTTCGTAAGCACATTTGATTAAAATACTGTGCCGGGGCTGGCCGAGTGGCTCAGTTGGTTAAGAGCTCGCTCAAGAGTTTGAGCTCTGAGCAACAGCGGTTCGAGTCCAGCCCGAGCTGAGCAGCCGCTGAGCTGCCAACAGGTAGCAGGATGGCTCAGCTAAAAAAAAAAAAAATACTGTGCCGCCCTCCCCCCAAAAGATAAGAGGAGACGTCTCAATGTCAAGGCCACTCTGTGTAGCTGCATGGCACTGTGCTGGGAGGTCTATCAGGCATGCCCAAATCAGCTCATGGGACCGCGGCCCACTGCTGTAACCACTCCTGGTGGAGGGGACAATCTCCGGAGCCAGACCACCTGAGTTCCATTCCTGGCTCTGCCTCCCATCACCTGGGTCTCCTTGGGCAAATCATTCCACACCTCTTGCCTCAGCTTCTCCATCTGCAAAACAGGACGATATGGCCTACGTCATAGGTTAGTAGTGAGTTCAAATCAATGTGAAGTAACTAACACTGTGCCTGGCATGTAATATAAGTGTTCAGACGCTGTTATGTTTCTTCCATCCCCCAAAAGTCTGGGTTTGAAGGGAAATCATCTTTCCCCTGGGAGAAACCAGGACAGTAGAGGTCCTGTCCCCTTTCATGAAATTAGAAGTGGGAGAAGTTTCCATGGATACATGCTCTCCCCGCTCTGGTCCCTACATTTTCTCCTGCCCTGTCTCCTGCCAGTCTTCTCCTTCAACCCTGCACTCCACAATCCAGCTCAGTTTACTCCTTCCTCAAAATCTTTGCATCTGCTCTTCCCTGGGCCTGGAAGAGTTGCCTCTTCTCACCCATCATACAAACCCTGACGTGGTTCACTCACATTCATTCATCAACCCTCTGCTTGGAGGTCACCACCTCTGAGAAGGACTCCCGAAATCTCCTCATACGGCCCCCTGTACTTCCGTGGCCATCTTGCATCACCATTAGGCCACAAGCTCCACTTGGCAGGGCCTTGGTCTGGTTACTCACCCCCGTGCAAAGTCACCTAGTTCCATTTCTGACACATGGTGCAATGGTCACGAATGGATGAAAGAAACAATCAAAGCCAACAGGAAAACACACCCGGACTCCACAGAACCACCCTGCCGGCGAGGGTCTCCTGAAATGAAATGGTTGTTTGGCCATTATATCTGAAGCCCACATCACAGAAAAACCAGCACTGGGTCGTGTAGAAAAAATTGATTTACCTTTGATGAAACTAATAATGGAAAATCTAGAATGCGGTCTGAATTGGGAAAACTTTGCAACAAACTAAAATGGGAGACATACTTTTCTTTGGGGGCTTATTGAGTCTAAGAAGAAAGACTCAAATGGTGGTGGTGTTTTTACATAAGTCTGAACTCAATTGTTTAATCATATTGCAGAGTTTCACTTATCTCCTAGAATATGTAAAGTGATATTAACCTTATAATCTTTTGAATACATGCGGGAGATACCAGGCTTGGTGGTGGGTGATGGGAATGGAAAAAAAATCCATCAAACAATTAGAAAGCCAGCATAGTGAGGTAAAGCACTGGTTCAGGTAATTCACCCTCCCATTGTACCCATACCTGAAAGATGCATGTAATACAAGCAGAATCATGGAGCAATCTCCATGAATGATTCATCCTTCTCTTTGTGAATGCGGGATAAATATACATTTAGAGATAGGTGATCATGAGTATAATAATAACGAACATATTCAAGCAGAGGCTAAAGACAGAACCTATGTTAAGGGCAGTCCACACATTATTGCATTTCATCATCACGAGCATCCTATGAGGTACAGAATGATTATAACAATACAGGTGAGTCATTTTAGACTACATCATTAAGAAATTGGCCCAAGGTCATGGAACTAACAATCAGTGGAGCCGGTCTTCAAACCATTGGTCATTTGATTCTGGAGTTTTTTCCTCTTAGCTTCTAGCCTACGCTTCGTCCCTCGCCCAAACTCAGATAATGGGATGTAGTGGGAAAAACTCGAGGCCTGGCATCTGAAGATTGACATTAATGATCAGCTTGAGGAGGTCACTCCATCTCTGTTTCATCACTTATAGTATGAGAATGATAATATTATCATATCATTTGGAGCCTCCCAAAGCTCCCAAGGTGATCCAGTGCAATGGTTTGCATGAAAGAATGTAGGAAACAAGAATGTGCAAAGCAAGTATCAGTTGATGGGTCTTATCAACAAGCACAGTATGTTGATGGGTTTGTACGCATTTAGTTGGGATTTTAGGTGTGACAGTTGAAAATGACGAAATGAAAATGATGGACTTTTCCCACACAGATAAATGGATGTTATTGGGAGAAGGAAGTAGGTGTCCCATCACTGTGCACTCCAGGCTTGGGGGAGCAGTCCCTGGCACCTACAGAAAATTAGAACATCACAGACAAGGTTACAATTCTGAGAACTGCTTACAAATTAAGCAAAGGTAAGTCCATTTGAATAATAGTGATTTTAAAAATAGTCTTATCTGAAGAATCACTACAGCATCTTTATATGTATTTATTTGGAGAAGACCAATCACTTTCAAGGATTTAAAATTTTGTTTTATAGCCTGTACATCCACCTCCCCCAATATATTTTTCTATACAAAAATGAAAATGTAAAAGATGGTATCTACCGCTATTCGACGTGCAAAGCTCTGGGGAAATGCAGTGGTAAAGAGAAGGTAGCTTGAGATGCAATTTCATCTATTCAATTTTCCCACCTATGCTTAGCATCATACCTCTCCTTGATTTCCATATAAAATAACACCCTTGACTATAATCATTTATTTTCTCTCCTGCATTTGTTGAGTACTCAAGCCCATAGTTGAGTACTAGAATAGATATCTGTCATTTTCCTCTGTCCAGCAGCCGTCCCCCCTTTATGTAATAGTATTTTGAGTTTCCTTTGGAACACCACCCTCAACTCTATCCTCAAGCCTTGAGATTTAAATGGTGCTGACACGACCCATTGTTTCCAGCCGTTGGCAGGTGACCTAAGCCTGACCAATCGAAATGATGGTGGTTATTTTCAAGGCTGGGCATGTGAGCCAATCAAGACCTCTGTGAATCTGATGTAACTATTGAGAAAGAAGATAAGCTAGTGAAATACACTCTTTGAGGTCCTAGCAGCCATCTTTGCTTCTACTTGAAGACGCTATATCTGACAATGAAGCCAACACAAAGAAAAGCAGAGCCAAAAGATACAAAATAGTTTCTTAGGGGCATTATTTTGCACACGTAGCTCTCCTCTGTCCTTTTTGATCATGTGACTTCATACATCCTTTTATTTGATGAAGCAAATTTACAGTGAGGTTCTATCACTTGCGACTGAAAGCAACCTCACTAACCCACGGAGATTTATCAGTTGTGCAAAGTTCCTATGGATTCCTTATATTGTCTGTCAAGACTGATAGCTGCTCGGGAACAGAAAGTCGAGATAAAAAGAAAATTTGTAGAGCTGGATTTACTCCTTTCGTTTCATTTTCTCTCTCTGTTCTTGATCATTCTAAAGTCTCACATGCATTTTATTGATACTCACATAAGCCCTAGACTTCTATCTAAAATATAACTGGATCCACATGAAAAAGAAAACCTATTTGCTTGGAGAATTCCAAATTGCCTTTACAATGGAAGCACATAATGTAAATAAGGAGAAGGAACGAAAGGGAGGAACCAAAATGATGACTCCTGGCTTTCTTCTCCCCTATTTCACCCTGAGTGGGAGGTGGATAGAAGGGAAAGAGGCAGGGTGAGAGTAGAAGAAGACATTGGCAAAGTGAGAACAATTCACAAGAGAAAGAGAAAGGAGGAGAGAAAACGCAGAAGGCTCATTCAATTTCAAGCATGGTCAGGTCAAATGATGAGCAGGGGAACCACTTCTTGACTTGCTCACTAAATAGCCTTGGAATCTTCTGGTTGAGCTATTTCTGCAATAACCCATGGAACTCCAACCTTAGAACCGCAGCTTTGAGACACGCAGGACCCACCATCAAGGTCGCCTGCAGTGGTGCAGGAGGAGCCTTCTAATGCATTAAGAGAGATGAGGCAAAAGGCAGAACCAAAAGAAGACCACACAGGAAAAGCGTTCCAACAGTGTACAAAAGATGGCAACTCGTCTACCTAGGAAAGGTAGCTCACAATTTCTGGAGTGCCTGCTACATGCCAGGCAGTAAGCTAAACCTTTTACATGCCTTGTCTTTTAAGAAGTCCAACTTTTTTTTTTTTGCTTTATTTACAGATGAAAAAAAATGAGACTCCAAAGGATTAGATGAGTTATCTAAGTTCCCATAGTGAATAAATGGATGAGGTGGGGTTCTCAGCCAGATTATTGGACCCAAAAGCCAGCCCCAGCCACATGTCACATCACAGAGTATGAGGGAGTCACATTTCCCCAAGATGCTCCCATTAACTGTTGAATGCCTTGCATTATTCATATCCCTTGTTCGATGATTGGTCTCATCCTCACCTCTGAATGCCTTGAGTGTGTCAGCGTAGAGAGAAAATCTGTCCTTCTGTTCATCATCTCTTGGTGAACCCCCAAATCTGGCTTTAACCTCTAAAAGCAGACACTGGCAGAGAGCACTTGAATAAATACCTCTTTATAAAAGTTTGGCAGAAGCTCAAATGGGCTCACAAGTATTTCACAGTTGAAAAAGAGGTTTACTGACAAATAGTTAACGGCAGTAAATATTTGTCGAATGGCTGAACTTTTAATAATTAAAGAGACTGTATCTCAGAAACCCTCTCCCATGAAGTTACTTTAAAAGAGGCTATAAAAATAGGGACACATGTGGAAGGATATAAATTCAACTTTTCATATTTTCATTTTAATGAATTCACTCAACAAATATTTAGTAGTGCTCTAATCGATACCAGAGATCATGCAAATTACTTCTTAGGGGTGTATTAGTTAATCTATAGTCATGTAACAAATTAACCCGAAACTTGGCAAGTTAAAGCAATAAACACTTATGATCTCACAGCTTCTGAGGGTCAGGAATCTGAGAACAGCTTCGCAGGGAGTTTTTGTGGCTCAGGGTCCCCCATAAGGTGCAGTCAAGCTACCAGCTGGAGTGAGGTCCTCTGAAGACTGAGGCTGAAAAATCCAGTTCCAAGTTCACTCTCATAGTTCTTGGGAGGTCTCAGTTCCTCATTAGCTGTTGGCAGAGACCTCAGCTTCTTGCCACGTGGAGCTTTCTGTAAGGCTCTCCAGAGCCAGCGATGCAAGAGAGAGAAAAAGAGAGAGCATGCACCCAAACTAGGAGACACTGTGGCTTTTTATTACCCTAGTATCCAAAGTCGTTCTCTGTCTCTTGTCACAATTAGGCTTCTGCTCTCAAAGAGGATCACCAGGGCTGGCCGAGTGGCGCATTGGTTAGGAGTTGGCTTGGGATGCCAGCTCTGAGCGGCAGGGCCCCGTTTCAGATCCCACATGAGGGCCAGTGATGCTGCACCTTCTACAGCTAAGATGGTGAACAACAGCTCAATCTGGAGCTGGGCTGCCGTGAGTCGCTGGTGAAGGCATAGGCTGCAGTGGGGCTGCAGTGGGGCTGCAGTGGGCTGCCATAAAGCTACCGTGAGTGGCTGGCAGCCACTGTGAGCGGCCGTCCAATGGCCGGCGAGTGACTGCCTCAGCCAGGAGGAGCGCAATGATACCAACATGGGCCAGTGAAGCGACGTCCTCCACAACTAGACTGAAGAACAAAAGGACAGCAACTTGTCTGTTCCCCTTCCTGGATTCCCCAATTAAAAAAAAAATCTTAAAAATAAAAGGATCATCAGCAAATTCATGGATATAATTTGAGAGCCATGGAGGGGGCTTGATTAGAAAGGAAACTGTTCAAAATGTCTTCATATACTTTTTAAATGTTTTAACTCATTACAATTAACAGGTGCTATTTTGTAACTTCATTTTCTATTAATAGACAACATATAGCCATATGCTTGGGGTGGGAAGGGAGACAGTTAGGCATGGGTCCTTAGGTGAGCCTTGTCACCCTCTCTGCAGGAGACCCAGGAAGTGTCACCCTTCAGGGTGACAGGTAGTATCTTTAGATGAGGGATATTATCTCCCATTCATGGGTCATGGTATTGTTGCATAGACCCCAAATTCTAACTGGGCACCTTAGCAGCTGAAAGACAGTGGGGTACACTTAAGATGACACAGAAAATGCTACCCCAAAAAAGATCACCAGAGAACCTAGAAACTGCCACATCAATGTATCCCCCAATGATTCTCAGTGTTCCAATTCATTGAACTGTTAAATGGCCTGACTGTATTTTGACCTGTTGAACTGTTTGGCTGATTCAAATGTTCACCATTGTCCTTCCCATGAAATAATGAATTCCGAAGCGGAATTTCTATCTGTCAGTTTCGAGAATGCAGAGTCTAATCTTCGCGTGGAAATAAAGTCCCCCTCACCTTTCAAAAGCCAAAGCCCCACTTCACCGTCAGCAGTGTGGAAAGCCACAAATCAATTAAACTTACCTTGCATGCGTAAGTACCGTGAACTGCACTCACCATGGCTTTATAAAAAAAGATGGTAGCGTGGGGTTCTCCACAAAGGCACGCCAGTCAGGTAATGGCACAGTTGGGGTCAGTGACACCTTCCCTCCTTGTGCCATCTGAGACTCAAGTGCTGTTTGAGTCGCATTTTTCCCCCCCTTGGGCCCACTGCCACATCCACACTGCACTATTTCCTTGTCGCTGTATTTAAATCTAAGAAGAAAACCACATGCAGCTTTCTGAAGAGCCGCGTGTGGCTAAGAAAGCCTCGGGTTGGAATGGAGCCCCTGTAATCCCCTTCACAGATGTGTGGCGAGGAAACAGCTCCAGAGAGAGTTCCCAATACCACCAATGCCACTTCGAGCTAAATTTTGCATTTCGTTTCTGTCTGAAAATGTCCATTGGCTGCACATCTGAGAAGGCTTAAGAAAATAATTTATTCCATATAAGGTTCCCAGTAATTTATGCTCCCTAAATTGGCAACACAGGAAGAATTTTTTCCTTGGCGACCATGGAAAGGCCATCCCGTGCGAGTTAAGACAGCACAAGCGGCCATCACTCTATGCAAAAGGAAATGTGCTAGCATCCTGAGTTGTAAATTACAATTATTTTTATCTTTTTAACTTATACACGTATAATTTCAGGTTTTCGGTAATAATCACCCCTTCACACAAAATCCTTCTCTACCAGGTCCAACTCCAGGACACACTTTGTCCTTTTAAGTCCCTCTTCCTCAAACCAGGTACATTCAAGAAAAACAAACAACCCTATTTCTATAACTCGCTCTACTTCCTTCTTTTCTTTCACTTTCAGGTTTATGCTAAGATAAGGGCTCATTTCTCTCAAATACTTGCTTTTTGGACAGGTACATATTAACTATTTGTTCTCAGCTTTACCTTTCCCAGCAAGTGGCAAAATGTAGTCCCACCCCTTTCTTTGTTTTGTCCATGGATGGGAACTAGATCGAATCCACGTGCACAAAGCCAAACCTATGGTTGCAAAGTAGAAAATGTGTTCCGTGATTTCTATAAAAATTCCCAAACATATTTCGTATCTATTCTATTCAATGATTATTGAATTTTTCATTTTCCTCGCAATATTTTTTACATCCAATAAACACAATCATGGGTTGCAAAACATTATTTGTAATTATGCCATAATGGTGTGATAGATGCATCCTCTGTTGTCATTTCTTGGGAATGTTTAGATGGAGAATATCATTTGGCTGTAATAATTATTTAGATTCTTAGGTGTAGGAATGCATGCGTGAACATAGTTCTCCAAGGCAGTAGAGGGTACTACACCGGCTTCATTTCAGAACCTCAGACATGGGGTCTCCACTTTTCAGAGTCTTCTCAGAGCTACCAGAAGGCAGAAGGGTTGGCAAACGATCTAAAAATGTAGCTACCATCTTTAGATCCCTGTGCTACCATCTTTAGATCTTTTGCATTTGTGTCATCCAATTGCATATGAATCTCTTGTCATGAGCTCTCTGAAACCATATTATAATGCTGTTAATAAGAGAGTTTGAATGTAACAATTCTACTTTTCAGTATATATCTGAAGAAAATGAAAACACTAACTGAAAAAGATATATGCAAACCTTTGTTCATTACAGCATTATACAATAGGCTACTGTAAGTAATTGTTGCTATAAATTATTATTCTTGTAAATAATAGTCCATTGTGGAATATTATTTGGCCATAAAAAAGAAAGAAATCTTGCCATTTATGACAATATGGATGAAACTTGAGGGCATCCTGCTAAGTGAAATAAGTCAGACAGAGAAAGACAAACACCTTCTGATCTCACTTATATGTGGAACCTGAAAAAAAAATTTTTTTTAATGAGCTTATAGGTACAAAGACAAATTAGTGGTTGCCAGAGGTGAGGGACAAGGTAAATCAAATGGGTAAAAGGACTCAAAAGGTGTAAACTTCAGTTATGAAATAAATAAATCATAAGATATAATGTACAGCATGGTAACTACAGCTAATAATACTATACTGTATATTTAAAAGTTGCTAGTAGAGTAGATCTGACAAGTTCTCATCACAAGAAAAAAGTTGTAACTATATATGGTGACAGGGGTTATTAACTAAACTAATCGTGATCATTTTGCCATATATAGACATTTCGAATCATTCTGTTATGTGCCTGAAACTAATATAACTGTATAGGTCAATCATACCTCAATATTTTTTTAATGAAAAACCAGGGAGACTTTGATGCTATCATTGTCACGAGAGACCCACAGCCTCAAAGATGTTCCTTTCTTTGAGTCCCAAGCTGGGACTGGATGATATTTGTGCAGTACCTCCACTGTCTAGACACAGACCAGTATCCCCAAGATGACGATCAAGGTTAACGTGGCATCCTCAGCTCAAAGCAAACAAAAGCTATAAACTTCTTTACTGAAAATTTCTACTCTTCCTAGAGCCCGTGAACAACAGTAAGCAAAGTGCTCAAAAATGTGTTCTATTTTACTTGTGAATTTCTTTGCAATTTGAATTCTAAAAAGAGAATTCACAAGGGAGATGAGATGGGGGGGATTTTTTTTTTTTAAGGAGAATGTATTTAGCAGAGAAGAATGAGAAGATGTCTTGCCACTAAGCCAGTGGGAAGTTGAAAGTACTCCAAGCCAAGGAGCCAATAGACTGGCTGAAACATAAGGTAGAACTCAGAGGGAGCTGATCGTGATTTGATCTCATTTCATGTTTTTCTCCCTGCTTATTTCCAAGATCTAATTGATGCCCGTGTTTGGGAAATTATAACGTAGAGCAGCAGGGCAGAAAAAGGGCATCGAAACATCTTAGATTCATCTCTCTTCCTACATAGCTCTTGCTATGGGCAAGTGGCTTTAAAATACTAACTTTCAAGAACCCAGATTATTCCCATTCCTTAGTCACCCAAAAGTTGTATGGAAGCCATACAAGGAAGAAGATACTGCCTTCTTAACCACATTTAGTCCAGCTAAGAAAGCATCTTGACTAACGTTCAGACTATACACAAAATGACAGCAACAACAAAACATATACACAAAAGTAAGGGGTTTTTTGGTCGAATGAGACTTCCCTGTGGCTAAGAGTATTAAACAGACCAATACAGGGAGTGTGGTTGAGGTTTACTATCATACTACGGAGTAACTGACACAACCAATTAGATTTGAAGCCTCTAGTATAGGGGTTTTGAAACGGGCTTCTGAGTTTCATGGAGGTGACTGTCCAAAGTCAAGGCAGAGGTCACCATTGAATGTCCATTTGTGCTCTTGGCCTTCACCTCCATCAGCTGATCCCACCATAACTAAGAACTAAGCTGAGAATGATTGCTTCACGCAGCCACAATTAAAAACCCAACATAGAAAATGTAAAAAGAACTTCAGAGGCTCTGACTATCATGAACACAAATTCAAAACCAATATTCTTAAACTTGCATCAGTTGTCCATTAAGAATGTACCAAGGTTGGGCCGGCTGAGTGGCTCAGTTGGTCAAGAGCTCACTCAAGAGTTCGAGCTCTGAGCAACAGCATCACTGGTTCGATTCCCAGCCTGAGCTGAGCTGCCACTGAGCTGCCAACTGGTGGCAGGATGGCTCAGCTAAAAAAAAAAAAGAAAAAGAAAAAGAATGTACCAAGGTCTTATTATGTGGCTGGCACTGTGCCAGGGGCTGGGAACA